GGTTCAGAGCATTAATTTTGTGTAGGACACAGGCAAGCCCCGACCTTATGGAGTATCTCCTCAGCACTTGCTTTATTTTCTCTGAGTACAGTTAAATTTTTGCTTTGTTTGTTTTGTTTGGGGACCCACCTGGTGATGCACATGGGTGACTCCTGCTTCTTCACTCAGAGATCACTTCTGGAAGAGCTCTGGAAACTGTACAGGACGTGGGGACTCGAATCTAGATCAGCCACAGCAAGGCAGCACTGTCCCCATTGTACTGTCTCTCCAGCCCCTATTTTATTATCTGAAATGTCATTTTACTTATTTGAGAGGGGAAGTGTGGGCCACACCCATCTCTGCTCAGGGCTCCCTCCTGTGTCGGCTCAGGGCAAGGTTAGCGCCCTCTGCTCAATATCTTCTCACTAATCCCAAAGATTCTAACTTGAGTAATAATTTGTAAGTGTGACTCAAGTTTGTTTAGTTCTTTTACTTGTAATTTTAAAATTTTCATTCATTTACTTTTTGGCTTTTGGGCCACACTCAGTGGTGTTTAGGAGCTACTCTGGCTCTGCCTTCAGGAATTACTTTTGGCACTGCTCAGGGACCTTAAGGGATACATGGGATCAAACCCGGTTGGACTGTGTGCAAGGCACACGCCCTCCCTGCTGTGCCATCTCTCTGTCCGCTAAGATCATTTATATCTTAGCGCCTAACCCCCTCAGCTGATGTTCTGTTCAGTGCTTGGGGTCACTTCCAGTGTTCCCAGGAGACCAGATGGTGCCTGAAATCAAGTCAGAGGGTCCGACATGCAAAGCATATTCCCCAATCCTGTGCATTGTCACCCTGCCTCCATTGGACTCTTCTACGAATTTTAAAATTTGTTCGGTACCAAACCAGTTGGACTCAGGGTTTGCTCCTGGCCTCTGCACTCAGGGTTCATGGCTGGCTGGTAGGGCACAAACTTGGTTTGAATATGGGCAAGTACTTTGCCCCACCTACTGTACTATCTGCCTACACCGCCTTCTATTTCCCTTTATTTTTAGCTTAAAATAAAGTTGTAGGTCTTGCCATCCTTGTCCTCACTTGGGTGCTTGGATTTCCTCCTGATTGTGCACTCAGTGATCACTCTGGGAGGGGCTCAGAAACTCCATTTGGTTCCGCGGTGAGAGAGCGTAAGTGCGGAGGGCGCTTCCTTACTCGAAGAAAACCGAGTTCAATCGCTGACCTTCCATGGAGCCAATACTATCAGAAGTGATTCCTGAGTGCGGATACAGGATTAACCCTTGAGCATCGCCAAGTGTGACCCCAAAACAAAACTACATACAGTGCTGGGATGAAACTTAAGTCAGCCATATGCCTGGCCAAGCCTAGACTGTTAGTGGTATTATCTGGGGTCCCATTATTTAACTCTTAAATTGAAACCTTATCTTATGTCTCACTCCCCACCAATCTCTGGCATATTGAAAGTGGATATTATGATCATGCCTTTTCAGTAATATGGCCGGTTAGACCAGGGGCACATGAGGATTACTTGTCGTCTTTTCCTTGTGACTAATCCATGCTTCCATCTCTGTGGGGACTGGGCTTTTTGGGGTGAAGCCAGTGTTAATCTCCTGGGTGGAAGAGGAGCCCTAAAGCCGAGGAGGAGAGGTGTGTGTCACACTGAGTGTCTGACGACCCTGGCTGAGGCCCTGGGCACTGTGTGGGTGCCTTAAGAGCATGTGAAACATGCTGCTGACCCCGAGTTCCTTGGGCTCCTGGATCAGGTGTCTGTGCTGTGCTCATGCTGCCCTACACTCCCCTGAGCTGTCTGTTAGCAAACAATCCTACGCTTTGATTTCTTGACTTTGTTGTTATTCTTCCTCATCTGTCAGGTATGTGGAATAGTTTATGAGTTTCAAGGTCCTTGTTCCCCTGGCTGTATAACCAGCCTGACTGTACACCTACAGGGTCGGGTGCCCTTTCTGGAGCACTGGACCCCGCTCTTTCAATCATACACCATGCTTATCTTTGCCTTTGGATCATGCCATGGTGCTTTGAGTATAGAAAGAAATGTAATTTTCTTTGGTTTCATGGCCTGGGGATTCCCAGCAGTTATTCCTGGTAGTTCTCAGAAGTTGCTTTCAGCGGTGTTCAGGGATCAACCCCTGTCAGCCTCATGCAAGGCTACCTGCTGTACTCTTGACCAACCAAAAATGTTTTATTGCGTGCATGTGAAACTGTGAGTGTGAGCCTATAGTGAAGCTAATTGGAACCAGAATGGCAGTGCATCAGAGAGGGTGTTTGCCTTACAGACACCGCCTCCCTTCGATGTTTGGCATCCCCGATGGTATCCTGAGGATCACTGGGTCTGATCAAAAACAAAACCCAAAACGTTTTTTCGGGGATTGCCGTGCTCCTCCCACAGACACTTCCAGCAGAGTTTTCCTTTCTATACGCTTGTTTGAACTGTGAGAATCATGGAGATGTCTTTCACCTGCTCAGCCATTGAGGGGTGTTGCATTCAACATGAGACTAATTCTTGTGTATTGTTTTTGATTTGAGAATTCAAATCACAGGTTCTGGATGTGGCATTGCAGCAATTTGATTTGGGAACATGGATATTGCATACACGTGTGCTGGTAAGATTCTCTTGTTGAAACTAAATATTATGCCATTGGGGGTACTTTGTGAACCAAGCATGTGACTTGAAAGGTGGTCCAGCTACATCCTCCAACCACATCTATGGTCTCAGCACCACAGGAAAAATATCAGAACCTGGGGCTGGAGTGATAGCACAGCAGGTAGGGCATTTTCCTTGCACGCGGCCGACTTGGGTTCGATTCCCAGCATCACATATGGTCCCCCGGGCACCTCCGGGGTAATTCCTGATTGCATGAGCCAGAAGTAATCCCTGTGTATTGCCGGGTGTGACCCAAAAAGCAAAAAAAAAAAATTCAGAGCCTAATGCTGGGAGTAGAGGGTCTTTAATTTCAGCGGGTGCTGAAATCTGGAAATTTATTTTATTGTATTGCTTTTTTTTAAGTGCCAGGATTTTCAAAGTTATTCGTAGTTGTACTTAGGCATACAATAATTCAACACCAATCCCTGCACCCACGTCAGCTTCCCTCCACCCGTGTTCCCATATTCCATACCCACCCCAGTCCCAACTCCACTCCCGCCTGTTCTGGACAACCACATGACTAAGTTTCAGTGATTGCGGCTTAGATCTCTTGTTTTCAGTTCTGTTGCATCTGTATTTTTGGGTAAATGGCTACACCCCTCACTCATGTCACTGGCATAAATGAAGCCCTGATCCCTGTAAACTTCTGGTTCTCTTCTGCCCCCAGATTTCTTTCCTTCTTTGACCGGCTTCTCTCTAAACACTGGAGTCAGGGATGATTTACGTAGCCCCTTTAGAGTACATTTCTACATCCAGTGTTCTGTATTCCACAGATGAGTGACATCATCCTGTTTTTGTTTCTTTTTATGGCTAACTTCACTCAACATGGTATCTTCCAACCGTTTGGCAGCACATATACTAAAATTATAAAACCTAAAAAAAATATTAAATTTTTGCTTTTTGAGTTACATCCATTGATGCTCAGAGGTTACTCCTAGATTTCCGCTCAGGAATTATTCCTAGGGGTACTTGGGGGAGCATATGGGATGCCTGGGATTGTAGCTGGGCTGGCTGTGTGCAAGGCAAATGCCTACCCCTGTACTATGGCACCGACTCCCCCAAAATTATTTTTATTACAGGGGAAATACTGTGACTTTACATTTGATAGACAGCAAGGACAAGTGTGTTGAGAAGAACTCAATGGTTCAGCACTAGTGGTTTTGCATTAGGAAGGGCACTTGCTTGGCACCAGGAAGAAAACTATGGTTCCATTCCAGCACACCACATGGCCCCCAGTGCCCCAGCAGCAGGAATCCTTGAGCAATGCTTGGTGTGACTCTCTCCCCACCTAAGTAAATATAACAAGATAACAAAAAACTCAATGATCCTGCAGAGGAATCTGCTTCAGGTGAGATGTTTGCAAAGGTCCATCTCGGCTGTGTAGGGATACATCAGTGCCCTCACATGTGAAGCCCGGGCTTCAAACTCAGCTAGAACCAAACCCAGTCTCAGGCCCCTTTTAATTTTCACTTTAAACTGAGGCTTCACTTTTCTGCAGAGGGTGTTATTTCCACTTACTGTGTCTGTTCTTTTGAGTTGGAAAATTTTTACACAGCTATGTTGTGGGAAGCTGGCCCTTTAACTGACCAAGAGCCTACGTGCCTGTGCTAGGTACGGCTATCCTGACCTACTTGAGCCTCAGCAGGTAAAGCCTGTGGTATGGTAATCCTGACCTACGTGACCCTCGGCAGGTGAAGCCTGTGGTTTGGTAATCCTCACCTATGTGACCTTTGGCAGATAAAGCCTGTCCTATGTATGATTATCCCAAGAAAACAATTGTCATGGCTGTAACTGACAATGATTAACTTAGTATAAGCTTTGTAATGCATGGTAGGTTAAACTTATAAAGGTAAAGGTAAAGGCCCTCCCGTTGATCGTCGATTTGTACGAGCGGGCCCAGTAACGCCTCCATTGGAGACTTTGTTGTTACTGTGTCTGGCATATCGAATACTCTCGGTAGCTTGCCGGGCTCTCCGAGAGGGGCGGAGGAATCGAACTCGGGTCGGCCATGTTGGCCGCTTGTAAGGCGAACGCCCTACCCGCTGTGATATCGCTCCAGCCCAGGTTAAACTTATAGACTCTGTAACTTTCCTAATCACATTTTGAGCACGACCCTTTGTGTAGCTGCCTCACTAATATATACCCCCATCACCCTCAATAAAGCCTGTCCCTTTTTCTCTTTGTTTCTAAGCTCCATTCTTTTCTCTCGTGTCTTGTGTTCATTCGGTCAGTCTTTCCCTGCACCTACGGACCCTAGGGCCACCTCTGTGGGCCGGAGAGTGGTCTGGCGGGGCCCCTCGCAACTGGCGCACACACGGGGTGGTGTCTGGGAGACGACTGCCGAACTCCCCTTCAGGAAGCGGTGGCCACCGGGACGCATGGAAAGGTAAGTGCACGCCTAATCAAAAATCCCTGTCTCGTTCGAGGCCGAGTGGGCAGATCCCCATCTCATTCGAGGCTGAGTGGGTACTAGCCCCTGCCTCATTATAGAGGTCGACGGGGCGGCATCAGGGGAGAATTAAGTGTTCAGTCTCATATGAGGTATATGAGACGGTCACTGGGTTGGATAAGGCCCCCCCATGCCCCTTTGTCGTGTCCTTTGTGGAATGTGTGTGTGAGTGAATGAGCGGTCAGGGGCGTCCTCGCCTCTGATTCAAGTCTGTTGTTCCACGGCTGGGCACCCCTAAGATCCCCGAAAAGGCTACGGAATCCGGTTGGGCTGCCTGCGGTTCCACGGGAAACATATGGTCTATGGTGGTGCTGACTTAGACGTCGGCCGCAAGTCACCTTTGGCTGATCCACTATGGCTAAGTTTCCCACCGACCACACAAGCACCTGAGTGGGCCACTTTGTTGGGCCTCCCCCGTGTCTCGCGTCTGTTTTTCCCAGGTATTCATGCGGGGGTACAGACTTCCAGTGACCCATCTCCTGTCTCGTCAATCTTTATATCTTGTCTGCCTTCTATTCCTTTCATCTGTCTTACTCTCTCTCTTCTTCCTATATTTCTCATTTTCTGTTTCGTAATCTGTATATTCGTGTGTGTCTGTATCTTTGAACGCTGTTTCTCCTGACCTCTGACAATGGGTCAGAGTTTAAGCAAGAAGGAATTGTTTATTCATGGTTTAAAGACATCCCTTAAGCACCGGGGTATCCGGGTAAAGAAAAAGGATCTCGTAGATTTCTATCTTCTTATTGAGAAGATCTGTCCCTGGTTCCCTCAAGGATGGACCATCGATGAGAAATGTTGGGGCCATGTAGGAGACTGTCTTAAAGACTATTACAGGACGTTTGGCCCCAAGAGAATCCCCGTTCCGACTTTCTCTTATTGGAATCTCATTAATGAGGTCCTTCGAGTCCGACATGTTCAGTCAGATGCCCACCAGATAATTCAAGACTCTGAGACCTTAAAGATTATGGCCCTTCTAACCCTCACTCGCGCACACCTTCCTGTCCGCCTTCTGTTGTCCCCACCCTGACCGCAGAGACAGAGGAACCTTGTCGGTCCCCGTGTCCCTCTGTGTCAATCCCTATGCCCACTGAGGAGCCACCTGAGAAACCTCCTGCAGGCTCTCAGTACGATCCCCCTGAATGTTCGATGCCACGCTTATATCCAGTCATCAGGGATCCCCTCCCCAAGCACTCCCCTCCGCATTCTGTGGACTCTGATGCCCATCCCCCTGAGAACGTTGCTGACCTCGGGGATGCAGCCACATGCTTTCGTGCACCTGAGAGGTCCCCAATGGCCCCCTCGCCCACCCTCGCTGCCCCCCTCCGTACATTCCCGAGGTCTCTTTCGGGGCGAGCAATTGTCTTTCTCCACCCCTTGTGGGTCCTGACCTTCACCTTGTTACCCACCGCTTGGCACAGGATACTCAAATGCTCCGCTCCTTTATACAACAAAAGCAGGAATTCCTGGACCTCCTGGGGCAGATCAGGCAGCTTGATCTATCTCCAAATACCCCGCCTGACTCACTAAGCCCACCGCTTAAAGCTCGGCTGCAAGCCCCTCAGATCTTTCCTGCTCTCCGGTCTGGTAGATGCCTCTCACCTCAAGCCCCCTCAGGGGAGGAGAGGGAGGGAGCAGCCCAAGAGGCAGACTTCCAAGATGACCGTGAGGGCATCGAGGAGGCTCCTAATCCGGGCAGGGATGCAAGGGACTCAGAGCCAGGGGAGACCCACGTGGGAGCCCATGGACGACAGCACTATGAAAGACTGAAGTTTAGTGATATTAAAGACATTAAGGATGCTGTTGCCTCCTTTGGTCCAAAGGAGGTCCAACTGCCCCCTTTACCCTGAGCCTTTTAGAATCCCTTAGCGAGAGCTGCCTCACCCCTAATGATTGGTTTTCCCTGACCCGTGCCGTTTAAAGCCGCGGAGACTATCTGCTCTGGAAGGTGGATCATCATGATCGCTGTCAGGATATGGCCCGGCGGAATCTCGCTGCGGGAGGGTCCTCCTCCCCCTGGGTACTGAGCAAATTCCTGGGTAATGATTCCTTCTCCTCTAACGAGTTTCAGGCTCAGTTCCCTCCTGGCCTACTCACACAGATTCAGGCGGCAGCCTTGAAGGCTTGGAAGGGTCTCCCATCCAAGAGTTCCATTGTCACCTCTCTTTCCAAAGTCCAGCAGGGCCCTAACGAGCCCTACAATGACTTTGTTGGCCACCTGGTGGAGGCTTCTGAGAGCCTCCTGGGGGGAGGCGACACTGATAATGACTTTATTTGCCACCTAGCCTATGAAAATGCTAATTCTGTCTGCCAGGACATCCTTCGTCCTCATAAAGGAGGCAAGACCCTCTCTGACTACCTCCGCCTGTGCGCCGATGTAGACCCCACCTCTCACAAAATTGGACTGGCCATTGGGGCGTCCTTTAAAGGTTTAACCCATACTCCCATAACCGCTCCAATTGACCCTAGATTCTGCTTTGGCTGCAACAAGCCTGGTCATTTCCGGCGCCACTGCCCAGAGCGGGAGAGGGCGCGCGTGCCCCATAAATTATGCCCCAAGTGTAAGGACGGGTACCATTGGGCATCAGACTGCCAGGTTGGAGTTACCTTTCACCCGGGAAACTTGTTGCGGGGCCGGCCCCAGGGCCCCGTAATACAGCAGGCAGCTGGGGCACCCCCTTTCTTCCTCCCCAAACTCTTCCGCCTCTGGCCCTTGTTCCCCCTCCGGTTTCGATTCCCTCCTGCGTGCCATCCCAGGAAGCTCCAAATTGGACCTCCGTACCACCTCCCCCACAATCTTAACCCAGGCACAGGGACCTCAGCCCATCCCAGTTAATTTCCAGGGGCCTCTGTCTGCCGGAATGGTTGGCCTCATTATCGGGAGGGGGAATCTTATACTGGAAGAATTCCAGGTCCTTCCCGGCACTATAGATAATACTCTCACTGGCCAGCTTAACATTATGGCCATGACTACGTCTTCCTTCCTAAGTATAGATCTGGGTGCCCACATTGATGACTTGCTCCTCATCCCACCTGGCCTTGCTCCTGGTGCCACAGGCCCCGTGCCACTGGGGGTGCATTTGGCTCAGGCTATAAGGGAGTGTAAGCCACTCCTGACCCTCACCATCTTAGGCAGGCCCTTTACCGGCCTTATAGATACTGGAGCTGATACAACCATCATTACTACTAGGGACTGGCCGCCCAAATGGCCACTCTCCCCCTCTTTAACACACCTGCAGGGGATTGGCCATTCAAAAAAACCAATATTAAGTTCAGCTGAACTCAAGTGACGGACCCCCAAAGGAGAGAAAGGCCACGTCCGCCCCTATGTCCTCCCCGACCTGCCTGTTAATCTGTGGGGGAGGGATGTCTTGTCCCAAATGGACCCGAACCTAGTAGATACCAAAGGCCTAGATATTTTACTTCAGCAGGGCTATCTTCCTAGTCAAGGTCTGGGAAGGCACTCCCAGGGCCTCACTGAACCCGTGATGCCTTCCCCCTCTGTAGGACGACAAGTACTGTGAAATTTACCATAATGGCCATTGACTTGCCTGTACCCCACACTGATAAGATTATCTGGCAATCAGATGGCGCTGTGTGGGTAGATCAATGGACCCTGTCCTCAGAAAAAGTGGCCACAGCGGAGGCGCTAGTGAAGGAGCAGCTCGCTGCTGGACACATAGAACTGACCAATTCCCCCTGGAATACGCCCATCTTTGTGATCAAGAAGAAATCGGGGAAGTGTCATCTGCTCCAGGATCTGAGGGCAATAAACAAGACCATGGTTGTCTTTGGAGCATTACAACCTGGCTTACCATTGCCCGTAGTCATCCCCGCCCTATGGCACAAGATTGTTATTGACCTAAAGGACTGTTTTTTCTCCATCCCCCTCCACCCTGCTGATCACTCCCGATTTGCCTTCAGTGTTCCCGTCACAAATTTCAGAGGCCCAATGAAGCGGTTTCAGTGGAAGGTGCTACCTCAGGGAATGGCCAACAGCCCCACTTTGTGTCAGAAGTTTGTTGCGAGTGTTCTGGCCCCGGTCAGGGAACAATGGCCGGATCTTTACATCGTCCATTATATGGATGATATCCTGCTTGCTGGCCCGCACCCAGATGAAGTTATGCATTGCTGCAATCATATGATTGACACCCTAACTCATGCAGGGTTTTCCATAGCTCAAGACAAAATTCAGATGAGTGACCCCTACTCCTTCTTAGGCTTTCAGATCGACCGATCTAGAATCAGAATCCAGAAGGCTCAGCTCATGACTTCCACATTGAGGACTTTAAATGACTTTCAGCAGCTATTAGGCAATATTAACTGGCTCCGACCCTGCCTTAAGCTGACACAAGATGACCTTAAGCCTCTATTTGACACCCTTCGGGGCGATCCCGATTCTAGTTCCCCCTGTACACTTACAGATGACGCCCGACGTGCCCTTGCCTTTGTAGAGCATGCCATTGATGAACAGTTTATCGTTGCCCTGAACTATGAGCTCCCGTTTTCTCTGATAATTTTTGAGACCCCACTCTCCCCTACAGGTCTTGTTTGGCAGACCCATCCCGTTTCCTGGTTGTCTCTACCCTCGACCCCCAGACGTGTCCTCACTCCCTATTACCTCCTTGTTTCCTCATTAATCAGACTAGGGCAGACTATTTATTGTAGAAAATACTTCGGCTTAGAGCCAACCACCATCATTCAGCCCTACGACCGAGACCAGGTAAACTGGCTACTCCAGAATTCCGATGACTGGCCCATAGCCTGTGTCTCTTTTGAGGGACTCATAGACAATCATTACCCTCCAGACAGACTGGTTCAATTTTGCAAGATACACAGATGGATCTTCCCCACTGTCACTAGAAATAACCCCATCCCTGGGGCTCCCACTATCTCCACTGATGGATCTTCTAGTGGGATGGCAGCATACGTGCACCAAGAGAAGGTTGTCTTCTCTCGCACAGACTATACGTCCGCCCAGTTGGTGGAGCTGTCGGCCGTCTGTAAAGTTTTTCAGGACTTCCCTCAGACAGCTTTTAATCTATGCACAGATAGTGCCTATGTAGCCTTTTCCGTTCCGCTCCTTGAAACTGTCAGCTATATTAAGGAATCCTCTCAGGCGACCAGTTTGTTCTTACAGATTCAACAGTGCATCCGCTCCTGCCATCTCCCCTTTTTCATAGGCCATCTGAGAGCCCACTCTGGGCTCCTTGGCCCACTATCCGAAGGCAATGACAGGGCTGATCGGGCTACTCGGCTGATTGCAGCCTCTGTTTCCAGTCCAGACCCCATATCCGAGGCCACTAAGGCTCATGCACTTCATCATCTTAACGCTAATACTTTAAGAATGATGTTTAAAATCCCTCAAGAGCAGGCCCGACAAATCATTAAGCAGTGCCAGTCTTGTGTCTCCTTTCTGCCTGCACCCCACCTGGGAGTCAATCCCAGAGGCTTTGTTTCTAACACACTCTGGCAAATGGATGTCACGCACGTCTCCTCTTTTGGACGGCTCTGATATGTCCATGTGGTAATAGATACCTTCAGCGGGTATATCTTTGCATCTGCTCAGACAGGCGAGGCCGCTAAGAATGTTATCGCTCATATCCTTTACTGCCTATCTATCCTGGGGAAGCCTCAGCGCATTAAAACGGACAATGGCCAGGCTATACTGGAAAAAAAAATTTCAGAACTTTTTCAAACAATTCCAAATACAGCATACTACCAGAATTCCCTACAATCCACAAGGCCAGGGTATCGTGGAAAGAGCCCACTCTACCCTTAAAATGTATATCTCCAAATTGGTGAAGGATAGAAACCTATATGGTGCCTCTAACTCTCCTAAGACACTGCTGTCCCATGTGCAGTTTGTGCTCAATTTTTTGAGCCTGGATAAGGATGGCCGCAGTGCTGCAGATCGTTTCTGGCACTCTGACTCGAAAAACTCCTATGCTATGCCTAAATGGAAGGATCCACTCACGGCTCAGTGGCATGGCCTGGACCCAGTTCTGATCTGGGGCAGAGGACATGCTTGAATTTTTGATATCCGTGAAGGAGCAGCTCGCCGGCTTCCTGCCCACCTTGTCTGACCTATAAATCATGTAACAAATTCCAGAACCTCGCCTGGCCCTGGGAACACCTCTATTTTCCCCACAGATGTCCCTGGAAATCCTGCTGATGCTGTTCATGACACTCCACCCAGTCCGGTGCTGACCGTCAAACAGTGAGGCACACCAGCCTATATCCATCTGCTGGAAAGTATTCATCAACCCGATGACAAATGAGAGACAACACGCTGTGAAGGATGCCACTCGTGTTTTCTGCAAGTGAGCTCCCCAAACCCTTTCCTGGTTCCCTGACTTAGAGGTCGATTACTGCCATGCCATACTCGATGGTTCTTTGCATGCCTTCCCCAATTTACAGTGGCGGCCCTTGCCCAAGTCCCTCTGTGACCACTCGTGGAAGGAAATTACCATTTACATTTGTCCAGAACAGCCTCATCGTCCTGAGTGCGGGGGTGTGCCTGACTTTTTTGGTAAGAATTGGGGCTGTGAATCTTCCGTAGCGGGCCTTCCTCCCTCGTCTCTCTCCACCCCCCACCTCGATTACTTGATTTACAGCCACCGAGCCAGGGCCCCCGGCTCGTCGGGAAGTATTCCCCCCTCTGGGGCTGACAGTTGCCGCATGTTCCTCCTATTGTTCACATCCTTGGGGAAACTGCTCCCCAGCTCCCGTTGGGAGGGAGATGGCCTCCGTTGGGGGGGTCCGCGCTTCGGGCGGCACTCTGACAGGTCAGGCCATCGGATTTTTCTTTCGCGTCTGGCACTACCTTGTCCAGCCGGCTCCCTCAGCTCCACCTGCGACCACCCCCAGTACTCCCATCCCAGTAGTCCCCACAGACCGGGTCCCTTCCCCAGGTCTCGAGCCGCATCCGAGTGACTCTCTTCGTGGTTTAGTCATGGCCTCTTTTGACTCCCTCAACCGCACCTCCCCAAACCTTACACGCAGCTGCTGGCTGCGCTTGCAACCGCCCCCCCCCCCCCATTTTTTGACCTCTTAGGCAGCCCCTTGCCTTATTCCATACCTCCCGTGAGTGGGCCTCTGTCCTCTCGAACCTTTCCCTCCTGGATGTATCAGGCCGTGGATATTGTGTTGGTGCCGCACCTCCTTCCCTTGACCCTTCCAAACTATGCGCCACCCACATCCCTGATCCTTCTCTCCAGTTAGACCAGTGGGTTCTCCCTTCATCTGGATCCTGGTGGCTGTGCGTTTGGGCGGGACTTACCCCACATCTGGCTGGATCAGTCTTTCGTCCCGCCCAGGACTTCTGTGTCTCCGTTGTTGTCCTGCACCGAATTTTCTAATATCCGGCCAATTCCTTTTTGGACGCTTGGGACAATAGGACTGATCTCCATCGTAATCGTCATGACCCGTTCACAGCCATCACTGTCGCTACCCTCCTGACCCTGACCCTTGCGGGCGCAGGGATGGGCATCGCGTCCCTGGTGACTCAACATTCTGCACTAGCCTCCCTTCATGCTGCTGTCGAGGCAGACAACAGCTGCTTGGAAGGCTCGATCGCCCATTTGGAAGAATCCCTCAATTTGTTTTCTGAAGTTGCCCTGCAGAATCGGAGAGGACTTGACCTTCTCTTTTTGAAAGAGGGTGGACTCTGTGCCGCACTGGGGGAGGAATGCTGTTTCTATGTCAATCATAGTGGAGTCATTCGGGATACCATGCGGGAACTCCGCGAGGGTTTAGAGCTCAGACGATGCCAACGAGAGTCCTCTACCTATACCTGGGGCTTTCACACTCTTCTCCCATACCTACTCCCCTTCTTGGGTCCCCTTACTGCACTCTTGTTAGTTGCTACTATTGGCCCTTGCGTGTTTAACCATCTAATCAGCTTTATCAAACAGCAGGTTGCCTTACTGGTGGCAGCACCTATACAGGTGCATTATCACCGCCTGGCAATGGAAGATGCTCCCCTAGACCATGCGGCCACAAATTCTGCTGCTACAGAAGACGGCTCGCAGGTTGTATTTAGTTGGACCCAACCTTGAGTTGTTCATGGCCAGCTCCCCTGCCCCTCTCTGATCTGACAATCTGGGTATGAAGGAGTCGGACTTTACCCTATTCCATTTTGTTCAGCCGCTAGGCAAAGCACTGCAAGGGAGGCCTCATGGCTGATTCCGACTGCTTGTGGAGTACACTGGGCCTGCATGGAGGTTTCATCTGCCTAACACTGGCCTTTTTCCACGGCTCCCCTCCGCTAGTAGGGTGGGCAGGGGAAAACAGGCTCTGTCTACTTTCCTCCCCTCCACAAAACAAAGATTTTCTTGATATCCTGGAGGGGCCCAGTCAATGCTCCCCCTATCTGGCATTTTTTTATAAAAAAGGAAGGGGGAGATGTGGTAACTGGCCCTTTAACTGACCAAGAGCCTACGTGCCTGTGCTAGGTACGGCTATCCTGACCTACGTGACCCTCAGCAGGTAAAGCCTGTGGTATGGTAATCCTCACCTACGTGACCTTTGGCAGGTAAAGCCTGTCCTATGTATGATTATCCCAAGAAAACAATTGTCATGGCTGTAACTGACAATGAATAACTTAGTATAAGCTTTGTAATGCATGGTAGGTTAAACTTCTAGACTCTGTAACTTTCCTAATCACATTTTGAGCATGACCCTTTGTGTAGCTGCCTCACTAATATATACCCCCATCACCCTCAATAAAGCCTTCCCTTTTTCTCTTTGTTTCTAAGCTCCATTTTTTCTGTCGTGTCTTGTGTTCATTCGGTCAGTCTTTCCCTGCACCTACGGATCCTAGGGCCACCTCCATGGGACGGAGAGTGGTTTGGCGGGGCCCCCCTGCACTATGTGACCTGATGTTGGTCTATTTGCTTGTGCATCTTGCTGAAATGTTAGGTTGTTGCCTGGAAAATTCATCCACATGTCAGAATTGCAATTGAGTCGGGTAAATGATAGAAACCAACCTGCAGGTCTAGAATTATCTGGACAAGGAGAATCTTAGGCACAGCACAGTAATTGGAATCCTTCCTTACTGTTTTTCAGGGTAGCAGCCAGTCCAGGTGGAATTTTTCTGATCATGCACACTGTGACAAAATCTCGAGTTAGCAATTATGCCCTCATCCCCATGAGGATGCCAAGACAGGTGGGATGTTTTCTCTGGGCGATCAGAAGCAAGTGAGTGCCCACGCTGCAAAGAAGCGCTCCCCTGGGAAAAGCTACTCGAAGACTGTTCTGCTCAGTCCATGGTCCCAGAATGCCCCAAGTGAGAAGCCCCTGGACTGTGGGAGAGGAGCACTGTTTATAGTGAGTCCAATTATGTACTCCTCAAGATATTAATGCTGGAATCGAACCCAGGTTACCCAAGTGAAATAAAGCACTCGCATACTTTGGACCTCCATACAGCCCCACCATCATGCCGGAAAGCTTCCTGAGTGCAGAGTCAGGAGAACCTCTGCATGTTGCTGGATTTGTGGCCTCCAAACCATGAACAAAACAAATAAAACCAAAACAGCCTCAGTCCCTTCTTGGAGGATTCCCTCACCCCAACAAGGGGTTTCTGAGCTGTATCTTGCTGTATACATGCTGCCTCTTCCTTGTAGTAGAGGGTTGGGTGCCCACAGAACATGGGGTGATGCGGTGTGGGTTGCCCATAGCAGGAAATATTTCTAAATGGTTTGGTCACAGACATAACAACGTGACTTCAGATGTTTTTTAGCTCAGAGTGTCACAGTCACTGTCCTCCCATTGTTCATCGATTTGCTCAAGGGGGGCCCAGTAACATTGTGAGACTTGTTACTGTGTTTGGCATATCGAAAACATCACTGGTAGCTTGCCAGGCTTTGCCGTATGGGCAAGATACTCTTGTTAGCTTGCCGAGAGGGTGGAGGAATCGAACCCAGGAGGCCATGTCGGCCACATGCAAGGCAAACGCCCTACCTGCTGTGCTATCACTCCAGCCTTGCAGATTTGCCTTGCTCTGTCCACGTCAGGTTCAATCCTCTGAACCCCTCTTGGTCCAGAGGCAAAGATGGAGCAGCCCACTCAAGCCCCGAGGTGATTCAGCCATGTATCTCAAAAGATCTGAAGGCGGGAATCGAATGCTGGTCACCCATGTCAGAGACTTGCACCCTCAAGGCTCCCCTACCACTGCCCCTTTGAAGCCCTGTGCTTGATCTTTAATTACCCCATACTTAACACAGAAACAAACCTAAGGGTGGAAAATTCTTAGAGAAATAGGACTGTAGAAGGACTGAAAAGCTCACAGCTCCATCTCATTTTCAGCCATTCTCTTTGCTTAAATGGGGTCATTAAGGATACAGCGCAGCTTGGGCTGTTACAATAGGAGCAGAGTGGATAGGGCTTCTTGCCTTGCATCCATAGGACCCGGGTATATTCATAGGCTTCCCATGTGGTTTTTCAATTATGTCCATAGTGTTTCCTGAGTGCAGAGCCAGGAGAAGGCCCTGAGCATATCCGGGTGTGACCACAACCATAAAGGAACAAACAAGAAAGAAAAGTAAAACACAGAGCTTCAGTTCCTTGATGGCGAATTCCCTCACCCCAACTTGAGGGTGTCAGAACTGTATATTCTTCCATTCCCCACGTCGGTGTAGAAGAGGGTTCGTGTCCCCTCATAATGTGCGGTGATGTGGTGTGGGTTGCCCATGACAGAAAACATCCAAAGGGCTTGGTCACAGGCATCACAAAGTGCGTTCAGAACTTTTTTTGTACACAGAGAAAAGAACAATAAATGTAAGAAAATAACCTTTACCTTGTTCGTTAAAGATTAAGTTCAATCCACTGCACCCCTTGAGGTTCAGAGACAAAGCTAGGGCAACCCACTCGACCCCCAAGGTGATTCAGCTATCCACTCCACAAATATCTGAAGGCTGGAATCGAACCCAGATTACTCAAGTGAAAGACAAGCAACCGCAGGCTTTCCTTCCTACTGCTGCACCTGTGGAAGAGGCTTGCTTGATCCTTTATTACCCCATACTGAAGACTGAAGCAAACCCAAGTGTGGAAAAATTCTTTTAGAAACGAGCACGTTTTGTTACTTTATGTTCCCCAGATGAAAGTGATCTTTCTATGTCTGTCCCTTTCTTTCAGACTAACACCCAAGAATAGCCGAGACAAGTGCCCGGAGGTTTATTCCATCGCATGGAGGCCAGCTGCACACGCTAGGGAAAAAGGCAGGTCAGATAGAGAAGGAGCACCAAATAAAGGATGCTGGGAGGATCCTCCCAGGATGGGAGATGCATGCTGAAAGTTAAAACTATAGACTGAACATGATTACTCAATGCCTCTTTTGCAAACCACAGCACCCAAAAGGAGAGAGAGAACAAAAGGGAATGCCCTGCCACAGAGGCAGGTTGGGATGGGGGGGATGGGAATGGGAGAGACTAACTGGGATCAGTGGTGGTGGAGAATGGGCACTGGTGGAGGGGTGGGTACTTAATAATTGTATAACTGAAAACCAAGCACAAAAATGGGTAAGTCTACAACTGTACCTAATCGTGATTCACTAATAAAAATGAAAAAAAAAAAAAGAGAAATGATCCCAGAGAGGGACTGAAACGTCCACAGTGCCATCTCGTGGTGTATCGCCAGAACTGCCGTGGCCCACCTTTCCCACACTTTATATTTCCAGCCCTTTTCTTAGCTACAATGTTAGGCATAGGGTCATTAAGGATCAAGCAAGCCACTTGGGTCCCTGCAGCGGGAGCAGAGTGGTTAGTGCTCTTGGCTTTCAGTCACAGGCTCCGGTTATTTTTCTGGCTCCCCATACAGCTTCACCATCATGCCAGAGTGATTCCTAAATGCAACATCAGGAGAACCTCTGCTGTTGCTGGATTTGTGTCCCCCAAACCATGAACAAACCAAATAAAACCCAAACATGCCCAGTCCCTTACTGGAGGATTCCCTCACCCCAATGCGGGTGTTTCTGAGCTCTATCTTGCTGTATCCATGCTGCCTCTTCCTTGTAGAAGAGGTTTGGGCTCCCTCAGAATGTGGGGTGCCAGGGTGTGGGTTGCCCATAGCAGGAAATATTTCTCAATGGCTTGGTCACAGACATAAGCAAAGTAGCTTCAGAAGGTTTCTAGCTCAGAGTGAAGAGAACAAAAAATAAAAATAAATGACTTTGCCTTGCTATTTCCACGTCAGGTTCAATCTTCTGCACCACTCGTGGTCCAGAGACAGAGTGGGAACAACCCACTCGACCCCCGAGAAGATTCAGTTATGTACGCCACAAGATCTGAAGGCTGGAATAGAACCCAGGTTACTCTAATGAAAGAAAGCACTCGTGGGTTCTTGTACCGCAGCACATGTGGAAGCGGATTGCTTGATCCTTAATTATACCATACTTATTCCTGAAGCAAACCCAAGGGTGGGAAATTCTTAAGAGAAACAGGCCTGGGGAGGCAGGGAAACGCCCACGGCGCCACTTTGTGGCATTTCCCGGAACTGCTGCGGGCCGACATTTCCTAGGCTTAAGATTTCCAGCCCTTTTTTTGCTTCAGTGTTAGGTATAGGGTCCATTAATCAGGTAAGCTGCTTGGGTCGCTTCAGTCGGAGCAGAGCAGTTAGTGCTCTTGGCTTCCAGTCGCAGGTCCCTGGTTCTCTCTTTGGCTCTCCATACAGCCCCACCATCATACCGGAGTGATTCCTGAATGTGGCGTCAGGAGAACCTCTGCACGTTGCTGGTGTTGGGCACCCAAACCATGAACAAACCAAATTAAACCAAAACAACCTCAGTCCCGTGATGACAGATTCCAGCACCCTAACTTCGTGGGTTCTGAGCTGTATCTTGCTGTATGCCTGACCACTTTTCTTTGTAGAAGACGGTTGGGGCATCCTCAGAAAGTGGGGTGATGGCATGTGGGGTTGACTATAACTGGAGACCTTTCCAAAGAGCTGGGTCACAGACAGGGCAAATAGGGCTCATAACTTTTCTTGTTCAAAGTGAACAGAAGAACGACAAAATAATCTCACCCTGCTTGTAATC